AAAAACCAGGTTCTAAATACGTTGGGCATTTATCACCATCTGGATTGTCTGCCTATTTGATAAAAAGTTCTATAGTCAACTTTATAACTATCAAAAATATTGACGTTAAAATGTTTGTAGCTGTTGGATGTGACGGAACTGCCGTAAACACAGGAATTAGAGGTGGCGCAATAAGGTTGATGGAAAAAGTATATAACAAAGCGTTGCAATGGTTGGTTTGCCTTTTGCATGCAAACGAATTTCCTCTTCAACATCTGCTAATTTATTTGGATGGATCAATTACAGGACCAAAAGCATTTTCTGACCCAATTGGTTATGCACTTATTAGTTGTGTGTAATTACCAGTTATTGAATTTGAAAAGATTGATGTAACTCTTCCAAAAGTTGAATTTAAAGATTTGAGCACAGATCAAAAATATATGTGGGAAATGTGCGAAGCAATATCCAAAGGTTAGTGTTCAGTAACCCTATCAAAAAAAACTCCAGGGGTACTAAATCACTCTCGATGGCTGACAACAGCAAATAGACTTCTACGGTTGTATGTGGCGAGCGAGGATCCATTCTTTATGCAAAGATGGTGCGCGGCATCTTTTTAAACTTATTCAACAGTCATGTTACTTAACGCAGGAACTGCGAGATATAGTAGATCCTGTATTACAACGTAACGGCTATTGCTCATCCAGAAAATCTCTTACTAGCAATGGTTTGTGACAAAACGCATTCTTAAAACGCGGCAGGAAAAAGATCACACACTGCGTACTTTCAGTTTATTAAAGCTTAACTTAGATGCACATGATTACATAGAACTCATCAACTGGAAAGAAAATAAAATAAACGAGCCACCGTTGACAGCTGATGTGTCCGAGGAAGATATTCAATTGTCTTTGGAAAGTGGCGGACAATCAATAATTGAGTTTGAAAGACTTCCATGCCATATTCAACCAGTGGAGCGGTGTGACAAGCTCGTAACTGAGGCTTCGCTGGCTGTATGTGGAGAAAAATCTCGAGATGGTTTTATTCGATCGCGTTTACACGCGCGTCTTATAATGCCAGTGTTTAACACAAAGTCAGAATATCGTGCTTCCGAACCAATTAACTGGTAGAGTGTAGTGACAGATTTTATTAAACTTAATTGTGTATGTTAAAATACTTAATGAATAGATATTTTTGTTTCACCCTTTAACTTGATATAGACTTGCTGACTTGCTAACTTGCTATTCTGCCACAGTGACGGAGAGAGGGAAGGGGAAGCGCAGAGGACAATGTCTTCCCAGTTATTTTTAAAAAGACCTTTTTTTATTTTTACAAAGTCGGTGTTTAAAGTAGTAATTTTTTTTTCAAAAAAAAAAAAAAAAAAATGACTAAAACAGTCAATTTTCATGAAAAATACCTCTTTTTAGTAACTTTGTCCCCTATGAGGCAGCTGAAGACATTGAAATTTTTGAAATTTTTTTTTCAATGTTTGAACACTTACCAAAAGACAACTTTTTCTTGCTATTACATACAAATATTCCACTTTTTTTTTTTTATTTGCATTCACTCCCAACAAGGCTGCAAGCAACCACTATTAAGTTGGGAGTTACTAGGAAAAAAAGGAACAGAGTTATAGAGCAAGGAAACGGTTGACAGAAGACTTGAAAAGTTGAAGGTTGTATGAGTCAGGAAAACATGAAGATGGGAGAGAGTTCCAAAGGATTGAAGTGCGGGGAAAAAAACTAGATGAATAAAAGATTTTAGAGCATGCAGGGACAGATACAGTAAACGAATAAGACTTAGCTGAATGACGAGTAAAACGAGAATGAATTTTAGTTGATGGAACTAGAGATGATAACTCCTTTGAGCAGTGACCATGATAGTATTTGTAGAAAAGAGAAAGAGATGCAACTTTACGACAATGGGAAAGAGGTTCAAGCTTAGCAGATAGTCCAGGTCCAACAACATTTACAATGCGTTTTTGAACCTTGTCAAGAAGAGAAAGTGAATCATTAAATTCACTTTCTCTTCTTGACTTTTAATTTTATCACTGCACTCTAATATATATATATATATATATATATATATATATATATATATATATATATATATATATATATATATATATATATATATATATATATATATATACATATATGGGATAAAATCCAAAAATTTATATGTTTAGGCTTAAATCAAATAAGGATGCTTTGCAAAAATTTGCATTGATCGGAGCCTGGGAACAAAAAAACCTTAAAATTTTAGCTACACTTGCCCCAAACGTGAGAACAACAAGTTGATAAAATAACTTTTATACTATTCTTAACCAAGTATATATTCATCGATAAATTTTAAAACTCACACAATAGTCTATTAGCGTTTAATAATTATAGCTTTATAAAATTTGCAACCCCCTCATATTGAGGGGGGTTCAAACTTTTTATGATCGTAGTTTTTGAACACTAAAAGATTTTTGTGTGAATTTTAAAATTTGTCGATAAATATAAATTTAGTTAAGAATAGTATAAAAATTATTTTATCAACTTGTTGCTCTCACGTTTGGGGTAGGTGTAGCTAAAATTTTAGGGCTTTTTTGTTCCCAGACTCCAATCATTGCAATTTTTTGCAAAGCATCCTTATTTGATATAAGTATATAAATTTTGGAGTCTGCTCCATGTTTGGAAGTTAGGTATTTTAACCATCAAAAAATACTGCATCCGCGCCTGATATATTTATATATATATATATATATATATATATATATATATATATATATATATATATATATATATATATATATATATATATATATATTTATATATATATATATACATATATATATATATATATATATATATATATATATATATATATATATATATATATATATATATATATATATATGTATATATATATGTATATATATATGTATATATATATATATATATATATATATATATATATATATATATATGTATATATATATACATATATATATATATATATATATATATATATATATATATATATATATATATATATATATATATATATATATATATATATATATATATATATATATATATATATATGTATATATATATATATATATATATATATATATCAAATTCTATAGTCACTTTAGCGTATAGTGAAATTTCTGAAACTAAGCAACAAATTTTGTCTGTTAAAATAAGAATTTTAGGGTTTTTTAGAATTTAGGAGGATTCGTTCTATAAAATATGTATTCCATAAATTTGCATACATATTTAATAGAACAAAAGCTTATAAGCTTCAAAACACTTCAAATACCAATTTACTCGTTAAATGTTTCTTCGTTTCCAAATTTATTAATGCCGAATAGCGTATATTATTTTTAAGACATTTTTCGAAAAATTTTATTTTTATAATTTTTTATAATTTTTTAAAAATATGTTCAATAACGTTTATTGTCATCCATATTAGTTTATTTTGTTAAAAAGTCAATTTTAAATTTTTTAATCTTTGGACGGCTGTTGTGCTTATTTTAGAATTTAATTATTTTTTTCCAATACATAATAGAATTAAGATTATAAAGCTTCTATATAATTAAATATCGTGATTAAAATTTTTTTGTAAAACCGCAAAAATTTTAAAATTGCGTTTTTCTCGAAATATGTAAAAATCATCCAAAAGCGCTAAGTAAGGCGAGTTATATTAAAAATTTTAAAAAATACCAAACTATTAGATATGCGTAAGTTTAATAGATATTTTACATCAAAATAAGGGTTTTTTAGTTCAAGGAATTCAAATATGGAACAGAATTCTTTTTTTTTTTTGCATGCATGCATTATACATATAACGCGTATATACGCGTTTAAACACGGTTTAGAGAACTTAAACAACTGTAACCACTTTTTATCTTAAAGTTTAGGTTTTATAAACCAAAACATATTATCATTATATCAATACTTTCGTGAACATACAATTCTGCGCGTCAAACGTGCACGTTAGCACGTAAGAAAGTCTTTTAACACGCAAAATAAGTAAATAAAATAAAAAAAAGTTATATGTTAAATATATTTTCACATTTTAAATTCAGTACATCTGTTGTATCTGATGTTACTTATGGTTAGAAATAAAATGCTATTTTGTCATGTATTTTTGATAATCATATTTTAGGATCTGATCTAATAAAAAAATGTAAGATCTGATCTCTCGTAGTGTTAAATCGCGTAAGATGTAATTGAGAAGAGAATAGTTGAGAAAAGTTTATAATATAGATTATCAGAAAGAAGTTCTTTGTATTTTTAATTTTGTTGCGACAGATTTCTTTGAAATTAAAACTGGACACGCTGTTACTGTGAATGGTTAATGTGAATGGTTAATGTGAATGGTACGCGGTATTGAACGACGGTTTTTAAATGATTTTTTGTTTGTTGACGAATTGAATTATATTGATGTGCAGAATGTGGTTTCAACAGGACTGTGTTATATGTCACAAAGCAACAGAAACAATCAATACTTTGAAAAAGAAGTTTGGAAATCGAATAGTTTCTTGAAGAGGAACTGTTGATTGGCCACCAAAAATTTGAGGATCAGATAAATTCTCGAAGAGAAACTGTTTATTGACCACCAAAAACTTGGCGATCAAACACTATTAGATTTCTTTTTATAGGAAGTTTAAAGAAGTGGAAGAGAAAAGTTTAGGCTAATAATCCTCAAACTATTCAACATCTGAAACAAAATATTATCGATCAAATTACTCAAATTGAACTACAGTTATGCCAAATATGATGAAACATTTTACTAAAACAAGGAAAGCCTGATCTGGCTACAATAGATTGTTACTTACCTAACATACCTTTCCATTATCAATTGTAATGTCTCTACTTTAATATTCAATTAAGATATATGATTGTTTGAGAAAGACTTCCAACATTTTTACATATTAAATCTATGATTGGTTTTTTAAAATATAATCTCAACTGGATTAAAAACTTTAAATGAACTTTGAACTATTCATAGATAAAATTTTTATCCAATAGATTTGATTTTTTTTTTTTTTAAATTGATTATTTTATTTACTTCGAAAATATAGCTTTTGGCAAAATTAAAAACAACTTAAAGCAAACATAATTAATAATGGCGGGCAGTAAACTTTCCCAACTCTTTGAAACAGGTAAGAATTTAATTTTTTTTTAATAACAACTTTTTTTGAGATTTAGAAAATTAGGCTTTTGACTATAATCTTAAATTCTAATGAATTTTTTAACAAGTTTTTTAAAAGAGAAATTTTTAAACAGAATGATATCATGAACATCTTTATAAATGTTTTTCCAAAAAATCCAAGTTCACAACTCTGTATGCATTCTAAATAGTTTTACAATGTTTGTAACCCAAATAGAACAAAACGTCGAATTGATATTTACATAGGTGTTTAAATTTTTTATTTTTTTTTTTAATATTTGTTTCTTCGTTCAAAAACAATGAGGTAGAGCCAAGTTCCTTTTACAAAAATAACTAGCAGAACGCACCAAAAATTTGAAAGTGATATCTTTTTTTACCAAACTTAAAATATATAGAGAATTTTATATTATTTTTGAGGCTTTTTAATTAAATGCTGCAGGAATGATTATAGAGTCAAAATACCGAAAAATTCTAAAATTGATCTTTTTCAAAAAGATGCATGAGGTTCATTTTAATCTCAAATTTGTCAGAAACTAAGTTTGCCCCTAAATAAAATTAAATTATACGACGTACGTGTTGTATAATCATCAAACATGTTGTATAACCATCAAATATTTGAGTTGTCAAACTTACACAACCAATTTCTTTTTTGACGTTAAAATACCTTATTTTTATATAATTTGAATGTTCAAATATGAACCTCAAAAACAAAAATCTATGGATATGTGAAGTTTTAAAAAGCTCCTGTCAAAACTCGATCATTTTTTATTGAAAGAATCCAAATACTAAAATGTATTTAAAACTAAAACAGAGTTTTTTCAATAGCTCATAGTAGCAATCAGAGCCGTCCTTAGGGTGGCGCGAGTGGAGCAGCCGCTCCAGGCCTCGCAGTTATGAACCCCTCGCGCAACGAGGCCATGGGGTTGTTCATTAATTACGTCAACAAAATTGGGTTGAGGGGGGATTGAACTTTTTTGACAATTGTTGACAAGGGGGAGGAGGGAGGTCAATAAAAGTTGATGTCAACAATTTTTTTTTTTTTGAGTTTTATTGCTTAAATAGGCTGATTTTGTAGCGTTGCTTCTTTGTTTAAGGGGAGAGAGGAGGCGGGTAATCAAAAATTGACGTAATTTTATAGATGGGGGCTCTGGAAATTTGACAAATCGTTGACAAGGGGGAGGGGGAGGTAAAAGTTTCAAAAAAATTGTTGACGTAATTAATGGACAACCCCCATCCTAAACACGAGCAATCAAAACTTTTACTTATTGTTAACGAGAGTAAGGCCTCGCACAGCAACGCCTTACTCTTGTTAAAAAATAAAAGACACTACTGTCGTTAAAATATATGAAAAAGTTTTGGTTTAATGAAAATATTATAACAATAATATACGTGTACAAAAATATCTAATTACCCGCGCAATTTTTTATTAATTAAAAAATATCAACATGATTCTCCTTCGTATGTGATAATAGCGAATAAAAAAATGCAAGTCATTGTTCGAAGTTATTGAAGCTCTTCTGTTAAACGACTATAAAATACCTTTTTAAAGAGTGAAAAAATTAAAAAATAAAATTAATAGATCAGGCAAAAATTTCATTTTGTTTTTCAAAACTATTAAAGAAGAAAAAAGAAAATAGCTGAAAAGAAGTAACGTATAACGAATTAAATGAAAGAATTTAAAATAAAATTCAAAAGTATAGGCTGCCCACCGGATCTTAGTCAGAAGGAGCATTTATCTTTGGTCATGCGATTTGTAAAAATTAATATGAATGCAACTTCTCTTAAGAGTGAAAATGAATATGTAAGCATCGAAGAACATTTCTTTGGATTCTTAGACGTTTATTTAACAATGGGCAAAAATCTAAATGATGTTCTTTTACAAGAGTTAGATGAAATTAGGTTGCAAATCAGGGACTAAAGGGGACAATGGTATGACAATGGTTCCAATATAAAAAGTATCCTCTCTTGAGTACAGGCACGGACCTTAGAAATTAATCCAAAAGCATTTTACATGCCCTGCGCTAGCCATAGCCTCAACTTCCTAATTTGGGACGTTTTTTGGTGTTGAGCAAAGAATTTATGTACTTTTTTCGTTTGTCAAAAATGCAATGGCAAATATTCATTCAAGAACCCGTACTATATCCGGCTGTAAAAAGGTCCTGTGACACTCGTTCGGAAAGTAAACTGGAAAGCGTAAAAGCGCTTCAATATAAAATTAAGGAAGTTCATACTGCATTAGTTGAACTAGTTGAGTTCACTGAGGATCGAAAAAAAAAAGCCAATTGTGAAACACCATCAGTTATGAATGAAATAAGTTATAAAAAAAAAGCAGACTCAAAAAATGCACCTTGGAGTTGCGTTGTAGTTACTTCAAAGGCTAGTTCAATTTTTTTCAGAAATTTAGATTTAGGTTTTGTAGCGGCAACAATGTTAGCAAGAAAACTTAATGAAACTCTTGGTATAGAGACAAATTTCAAAGAAGCCAGACAGAGAAAAAAAAGAAGAATGTTTTAGTAGTAGGGAGATTCTATGGCAGAATCCGCCAATGTTTAAAGTGGAGTATTTTTTTTGTTATTGCAGAAGGTTTGAACCACGGCCGTCTATACTAACAGGCCTCGTAAACGCGTAATTCGGAGCCTGGGGCTGGGGGCCATTAAAACAACATCAACGAAAGAAAAGTTAAGGATAACAAACTTTTGGTCGTAAAAAACGTTTAAATGTTTTTATTTTAATAAAACCTGTTTATATAATAACAAAGATTAAAAAAAAAACATTTCCTATCCATAAAGGTTTATTTGTAATAAGGCTAAATCTAGAAAAAAACTACCAAGCTAGAGAGATTTTACAAAATACTCAATCATTAATTAAACAAATACACAGGAAATAGTAATAATCATAAAAGTCATCATAATTAAAACAAATACATAGGAAATATAAGAAACATAACAATGAAGCCACACAAAAACTATATTTTAAAATGTAAAACTAGAAATTAAACATTTTTAGTAAAAACAACAAAATTGTAATGACATTTTGAAAATATTTTCAAGCTATACAATATAATACTGAAGTGGTAAAATGTGTATAAAAATAACAAAAAAAAAAAATGAAATTTAAAGAAATATATACGTAAAATTAAAGTCGTCATAATTAAAAAAGCAATATATTACTTTGAAAGTTTTAAAATCTTTTGTTGTGGCTCTTTATACGACCTTGGTGTATATAAACTAACATAGTTTTTAAAATATATATTTGAAAGTGAAACAGCATGTTTTCTTTCCATGTTAAAGTTATAAGACTCTGATATTAGCATTAGCACATTGCAGAGTGACTTTCGGTAAACTTGATGAACAATTTCATGAAATAATATGTAAGAGAAAATTGTCCATTGACAAACATTGTCATTTGGTATTTTCAAACCTCCACGATTCATTTCTTCAGTATAATCACCAAATTTTGCATAATAAAATTTAGCATCTTCTTGTTCTTCAACATTATTTCGCACAATATATCCAGCTATATATACCAATCCTGCTTTGGTATCTATTTGAACACTATTTTCAAGTTCAGGCAAATTATCAAATACATCAATAGCATTACTGCTAAGTAAGTATCCACATTTTTGACAGCTATGTCCACTTTCTGTAGATAAAGAATCAATGTCTATTCCAATTTGGAGACTTAATTTGGCTCTTTGAATTTTTACATTTTCAATCACTTGTTGCACATTGATAAAATATGTTCCTCCAGAACCTTGTCGAAGTTTTCCGAACATTTTTTCTAGTGGGTCAGTTGTAAATTTTCCCAGTATAACATACTTAAACGAATGTTGGAGCAAAAATTTAGAAATGGCAACTAAACCACGGCATGTATGAGCTAAAGCTGCACCTGTATTTCTGGTTAGCTGAAATTGTCTTTTGTGCTGTTTGCTGGTTGTTTTTTCTGCCATTGTTGCAAGATTAAGTAAAAATGTCAGTCTAGCATCTCCTGAAGTTGATATAACTGCTCTATTTGGATCTTTATATCGAATATCAGCATACAGTCCTTTTGTATTAACAATTTTCCAGAATTTCACAAATATTTCAAGTAAAGTAATGGTGCCTTCTGCTTCTTTTATGTTACTGTTGGATTTTAAAGCAGTTGCAGTTTCATCACAAAAGCAAGTAGACACCTTTTGTCTTTCAATAGGTTTTGGTGCAACAGACACACTTGTAAGTTTAGACAATTTTACGATGTTATTTTCTTCAAGCCTGAACAAACTTAAGATATTAGACCAGCATGCATATTTAGTTTTCCCTTCATGTTCATAACATAGCTTTTGACTTTTTTCTGTAACCCAGTTATTACAGACAGATTTAAGAAGATGGACAAAGTCATATAACAAGAACATATTGTCTTTAGTTAACCATGGCTCAACACAATCAAACATTTTAAATAGTGCTTGATTTACACGGTTATTGTCGCATATTAAGGCTACCAGTATTCCTCCTGCACTCTTTATTCCCTCTAAAACAAATTGAGTTTGTTCAAACAGAAATTTAGAATCAAGCTCACAGACTGGTAAAATTCTGCAAAGATATTGTGGTCCTCCGTAAAGTGATACTAACATAAAACTTAAAACAGTAGTTGCTAAAGACTCTGGTTTATTTACCGCTTTACCAAAGACTGAGCCAGCATGATAAGTAAGAGATGATTTGACATAAACTTCATCAATTAAAATCATACAATTTTTTTGCATTTCATTTTCAAGCTTAGAATAAACTGATTTAAAAAACTCTGTGTCGTTCATTGCAGAATCCAGTTTAGAAGTTAGCTTTGTTAATAGGGAAATACTTGGAAGTTCATAATCTTCCCTTAACCTTCCATATAACGATCTCGAAATTGCAAAGTATTCAAATGATCTTACAATAGTTTCTGTACTATACTTTTTTTCACAATAGTAATTGGGCTCATGTCACTGATGTGTTGTAAAAGATTAATAAGTTTAATGCTTTTTGTTAGGTTATTTAGAAAATTTATAGCTTCTTGTAACTTCGAGGAAGAATTTAATATGAAAATCCTGTTTTCAGATAGAGATGCAATTATATGCTTAATTCCACAAAAGTATCCCTCGAATGAAAGATCATTTTTTATTTTGAGCATAAATCTGGCAATGGAAGTGTTTTCTTCAAAGTCTGTTGATTGAATTATTAGCAAATGTTCACCAGCAAAATACCAAGTTACATCTAATTCAACTAATTCAAAATTAATTTCTTTATTTTGTAACTTCTGATGTAATGATTTAAAACATGTAATCTGATCAGCAGCTATAAACATATCAAGTTCATCGGGTATAATATTACGAACAGATGAAGAAGCTTTAAAGGTTGTTCTTAATGGCGATGGAACACTAGGCATCAAACTTGGTTTTACACATGTAAAAACTGATGGAGGATCACGTGGCCTTACAATATAAAAATAAAGTATATTATATACTATATTTTTATATTGTAAATAGTATAAATAGTATGTTATATCTTTTTAATTATATGTTATATCTTTTTAATAATATGTTATATCTTTTTAATAATATGTTATATCTTTTACATAATATGTTATATCTTTTTAATTATATGTTATATCTTTTTAATTATATGTTATATATTATTAAGCCTCAAAAGCTAAAGATCCGTGGTCACCATCTCTGGGTGAATTTTCTAACATCGGTAAAAAAGGAGGCGTAAACTTCCTTTCAAATGCTCTTCCGCGGTGCTCTGCGATAAGACCGTAAGGACTTCTTGGGGCATCTAGCATAAAAGAATAAAAAATATATGCATATATCTTAAACATATAGCATATTCAAATGGTTTTTTATAAAAATTGTAAAATTGTAGTGGTAACAATAATAGATATTTTTTTATTCAAAATAGTTAATAAACATAAAACGAGTAATTTTTATCTGATTTAAAATACATACATTTCTAAACATTACTAAAAAATTTAAACATTACCATGAAATTTAAACATTACTATGAAATTTAAACATTATTATGAAATTTAAACATTACTATGAAATTTAAACATTATTATGAAATTTAAACATTACTATGAATTTAAACATTACTAGAATTTAAACATTACTATGAAGTTTAAATATTACTATGAATTTAAATATTACTATGAAGTTTAAACATTACTATGAAATTGAAACATTACTATGAATTTAAATATTACTATGAAGTTTAAATAAAAATGTTTTAACTATGTAATAACTAAAACTTAACGCACTATGTAATAACTAAATTTCAGTCGATTTAAAATGTAAATTCTACTATTTTTAGGAGAGAAAAAAAAAATCATACCTTTTTAATCAAAAATTCAGATATTTATTTATGTCCTAATAAAAAATGTAGTAAAAATATTTATGTTAGTCTAGCCCTCAAGACGCATAAAATATATCATTTTGAGGTCTTTTTTTTTTTTTTCCAAATATTTCTTTAGAGGTGATTCAATTGTGCTCAGGTTTTTTGGGAGCTAGTTTAAACATATTTGCTTCAAGTTAATATAGTTTCGTTTTTAAATTCTAAAATTTTATATATATATATATATATATATATATATATATATATATATATATATATATATATATATATATATATATATATATATATATATATATATATATATATATATACATGTACGCCGCCTTAATAACTTCTAACTTCCATTCTTCTGCTTTTTGCTCGAAACATTCATTTTTAGAGTTAATACTCAATAATATACTATGTATCCGATTTGAAATTTTTTTTTTTTTTTAATTCATATATATTTTTTCTGACGTTAAAAAAAAAAAATTGATTTGTAAAATAAAAGTTGTTAATTTAATTTTTTAAGTTGGCAAAGGTTTTATAACTTACATTTTGTTTACGATTCAGAAAAGAAATTTCCTGTCACGCAGCCAAAGTTTATATTGATTGGAGCTAGTTTACCACGCACAGGAACCCAATCTCTGATGGTTGCTTTGCAAATTCTTTTACAGGGAAAAGTGATGCACATGATACATATAGGCCAATATGAGAATCAGTTTTTGAAAATATTCAGCGGGGATGCAACCGATAACGAGTTCAAAAATTTTTTTTTAGAAAATGGTTTTTTAGCTGCAGTTGACGCTCCGTTTTGTTATCATTACAAGCAAGCTATGCGTGCTTTTCCTGAAGCCAAAGTTCTATTAACTACCAGAGATCCAATAAAATGGAGCCAATCTGTGAGAGAGAATGTGTACAAAATTTGGTACGTTTTAAACAGCTTTCCAACTAATGTTTTTCACTTTAAAATATTTGATCAGTACTTGTGGCCTACTTCATATATGGGTAAAAAATTTAGTCACCTCTGGCATTTTATGGACAAAGTTAGAAAAGGAGAAGAAATATCTTATTTTAACGATTACAATAAGGAGGTTAAAAAGGCTGTACCAGTAGAGAGGTTGCTTGAGTATAATGTTGCTGAGGGATGGGAACCACTATGTTCGTTTTTAAATGTTCCGATTCCAAACTGCAAGTTTCCTCATCTTAACGAATCAAAAGATTTTCAGTTAATAATTCTTTCCATAAAAATTCGATCCTGGATTTTGTTTGCACAATTAATAACTTTACCATTATGCATTGGAGGATTTATTTATATTTTAAAACAATAATTTCGCATAGAAATAAATAATTTTTACAAATAAAATGTCACATTTTTTTAATTTTGTATTATTTGTTACAAAAATACATTTCACCTAAAATGTTTATGCTTGAGAATAACTAAATTAGTTATGAAATTTTTTAATTTTTTATATTCAAAAATGCTTTATGTGCGTTTTTATGTGTGTTTGTATGCGTGGTAAGTATGTTCTTTCATTCTTTCCGTTCTAACTTTTTTTTTTCACAGTTTTAAACATCGAAGTATATATACGCTTGCATTTAAAACTCAAGTTTTATATATATATGTAAGTTTAAAAGTAACCAAAAAGAATTAAAAAACGTATAAAAGTTAATTATGACAAATTTTTATAAAACGAAATTGTTAGAGAGTGTTAAACAAAATACGGCAAACATGTCGACATTAGGCCGGGTGAATAAAAATGAGCAATTGCTTTTACTCAGGAATTGGTCAGCTTTACGTGAATAAAAACTTGAGGAAATTTAGTTAACTTTTTATACACGTAAAGCTGAGCAATTACTGAGTAAATTGCCTAACTTTATGTGAATAAAAATTTGATCAAAACTGCTGAAGTTTTTATTAACGTATAGCTGACCAATTACTGAGTAAAAGCAATTGCTCATTTTTATTCGCCCGGCCTAATATGCAACATTTGTGTTTTTAAAATATTAAGCATGAATAAAACAAAAGTTAAAATGAATTTAATTTAAAATAAATCAAATTAAAGACAAAATAATAGAAATAGATCTATTTTAGAGGAAAGATGGTAGGATAATTAAGAAGGTCATTAAAAAATTTGGGAAACATAACACAACTAAAATGGAACTCTGTGGTATCTCAGAAGTTATTAAAAATAAAGAAGAGTATTGTTAAGTAAGAACAACTTTAATAGTGCAATTAGAAAAGAAGGAACTTGAGGAATATTTTATTCAGATACACCATATGAAGCTTATGGAGAAAATTAAGCTTATGGAGAAGATTAAGATTTCAGACTTTATTGAAAGCTTTTGATAAACCTACGGCTCTACCTAATACACAACAAAACCGTTAATTTGTTATTATTATTAACAAGTCAATAGTAGAACATTCTTGTTATTTCCAATGAACTTATTTTTTAGACTCAAAATAAGATATATTTAGTAATTAAAAACTCAAAGATATTGCTAATAATAGTAAGAAGATTAATTAAAAACTCAAAGATATTGCTAATAATAGTGAGAAGATTGATTAGATGATGATTGGAAGTGCCAGATCTCCTGATTTTTTAGAAGTTGGAACCACTAATCATATTTTTTAGCAGAAAAACATAATTTAGTGAAACACAGTAAATAGTTTAAATATTTAAGTAATAAAAAGTTTTTTTTAATTTATGAAAATTTAAATTGTGAAAGAAAAGCTTACAGTTTGATTTTTTTTACAAAGCACGATATTCAAGGTGAATTCATTATAGCACGTGCACATAGAGTTGGAACAAATGATAAAAATAATGCTATTAAAAAATAATAGTACTGTATTTGTTATATTTTTAAACTTTTAATTTTCGATGTTGTTAAATTTTTAAATTTTTAACTTGCGAATAAATCAGAAGTATTTGATAATAGTTACATGCTTGGCCTGGGCATTTACATTCGTAAAAACTCACCCAATTGTTGGTAAACTAGGTTTGAATCCACTGACTATTTCTTTGTTTGCTTTTATTTAGCACCACTTCACTATATCACTCTTATCTTTGTTCTATATCGCTCTCCTTCATCCTAAGATTGCACTCTTTTCGGTGTTATTTCTGATCAAACTGATTAAGCCCATTTTATTTATCCTTCAGACAATATTGTTGTTGTTGGTTTGAACAAAGCCATTCAGTGATCACACTGAATGGCTTTGTTCTTGTGTAAGTGACTATGCAAGTGTTAAGACCCACAACTTTTTGCTTTTCTTAATCTCTAACACAAATAGTCAACTTTCCTACTCGCTTTCCAGAAAATCCAAATCATTCATCCTTTTTTGAATTATGTCTTGTAATTGATTCTAGTCAGCGCTCAGTTTCTCCACATTTAACTTTAGGTGCTTCTGGTCACGGTTTGATCTCTCCAAAACTATTATCTCATTATTCTTCATTATCAGAGTCACCCTATATTCGTACCTCTTACAACTACCTTAAAGCTAACTCTTTCCATGATTTTCTTCTTGATGGCCCTTTGGTAGAGATGTTTCGTCTTCCTGCTTACAAATGTGCTTCTTATGTGATTTCTTAGGTTAAGACTGGCATAAATTCTTTTAATCCTTCTCGACAATTCCAAGTCAAGCCTTACTCTTCTCCATGGTTTTCCTTTAATATTGCTGCTGCAACTTCTAATTATAACCATTACTTTCATATCTATTTCCAAAACAATTCTCTTAGAAAACAGACATCTATTTACTATTGCTAAAAACCATTGTAAAACAGTTTTATCTAACGCCTATTCTTATATCACAAAATCTTGTATTTCCTCTCACAATTTATACTAAAGTCATGGCTCCAGAGGCTTCTGGAGAATCTTTAACTGTATCTATAATAAAAGCAAATCCGTTATTCCACTTCTCATAGAACTAACAAAAATTCGGGACTGATTTAAAATGAATAAGTTATCACTAAATGTTGATAAAACAAAAATATTCTGATAAATATTAGAAATTTTTATTTACAATAACAGATACTTTCCATGAGCAAATCTTTTTTTTTTAATTGATTAGACGAGCAACATATTTCTGTTGTCAATAAAATGATAAAAACTTAAATTTCATCCAACTTTTAAAAAGAAATTACTTAATTGGGGTAATATCAATACATTTAAGTCGTTACCATTTTATTGACAAGAGAAACATGTTGCTCGTCTAATCAATTAAAAAAAAAAAATTTGATCATGGAAAGTATCTCTTATTGGAAATAAAAATTCCTAATATTTATCAGAATATTTTTGTTTAAATTTTTTTTATTTATAAATGACATCAGCATAAAGACTATCACAAAGAAAATGAATGAACGAACTTAGTAGTAAAAAGTTAATCTAATATAAAAGAAGCACGAAATATAAAACCATGGTCATGGTCATGGTCTAAAAAGCCGAATTTTTAGCCTCATCTACAGCAAGTAGTTATTAAGAAATAATTTTTAAGGGATGAAAATTTACTTTTAATTCCACAAATGTTTGTAAATTGTAATACTTTGGTGGTAATGATGGCTTTTTATGTTCAATATTATTAGGTGTTGTAGTCATATATAAAACTATATAAATATTGCAAATCACATTAAACAGTTATAACAGGGAGCTCTTTTCGTGGGCTGCAACGTACATCAGAAGAACTAACAGTCACATCATCATTTAAAGCATTTACTACAGGTTGTATTGAATTTTATGTTACCACTAACTTAAAAATTATGCTGATCCTGATCTAGGCCTAACTTAAATTAAAAAAAAAAAAGAAATAATGAAAACATAGTTTTATTTAAACAAATGAAAAATTATTTGCTTTAAAGTTTAGTTGAAAAATTAGTTTATAGCTAAAAAAAATTAGTAACAACTAATATTCCAACTAAACTACATTAAATAGTAAATGACAGAATTAACGGTTAAGCAAAAAAATAAAATAACATCAATTTAAAAAATTACAACAACCTGTATAGAGAAATTATTTAAAAACAGAACTTGAAATAGCTAAAGTGGATCAAAAATTACGAAAATCTACCGGTTTTTGAAATAGTTTCAAAGATACTTGTGGTAAATCTGGATAGTTTCATATTCCAAAAAATTATCACTGAGTTTAATGCTTTTTCGTAGCTGTGCAAGCAGCTACAGAGCTTCCGATAATCAAATATAAATGCCAAAAGCGCTAGTATTGCTCGGGTATTCCATTTTGAATTATTAAATTTAGATGTTTTGGGAATTTCACTTGAGGAAACTTCTCCAGATTCTTCAAAAACACCCGAAAAATTTCGAGTTAAGAATAGAAATTTCATATCATCACAATATTTCGAGTTAAGAATAGAAATTTCATATCATCACAATATTTCGAGTTAAGAATAGAAGTTTCATATCATCACAATATTTCGAGTTAAGAATAGAAATTTCATATCATCACAATATTTCAGTAATCATACCTTTACCATTCTTCAAATTCTCCTGAGCTTTTTGTAATTCTTTACAAGTCCCAAGATAAATGAATATTTAATTTTGGGTGACATGTTGTTTCCCCCGAATTCTTCATCAATTATTACGCGAAGAACGATCACTTTGTTGCTGTTGCCATTACTGCTGTTAAAGTAGGCTTCAAGGAGATTTTTCTTTGAGGTGGATGGAAAGTTTTTGAACTAGCAGCCTTCCCAGTTGTATACCCGACCTGTTCTTTTTTTTTTTAATCTGAAGATGATACAATCTTTTGTCCTCACTGCAGAGCCATTTACCATCTTTTTTTGAGATGACAAAAACTTCATTCAACGGATCGTATTTTTTTTGTTTTACACATTTATTGTACGTCTTTAGCACTTGATCTAGTTTTGCCTGCACGACTTGAATTGATAAATGTGTTAAAAAAATTTTTTTCCATAAACTTGTTACCTCTTTTTCAATTTGCTTAATGCACTTTTTTTTCTCTTTGATGGATTCTCCTAGGAACAAATAGCGACAAACAATTTGTGTTGTTAGTGGTACTCTGCTATTATCTACTAATGATTGTTCTTCTAGTAGAACAATTTTTTTTTTCTTATGTGACTCAAAAAATCTTACGAGATTCTTCATCAAGATTGTTATGTTTCTTTTATAACAATCTGGATGAAGAATCTGAAGGAAAAAAAATTGTGGTTTTTCTTTACTTATAGGACATTATAATTAAAATAATACTCGAAAATATTTCTGAAAGTCATTAGGATTAAATAAAGATAAGTACTTCTATATTGTTTGACTGCCATCTGGCAAATACAGATTCATATATAATTATTAGCGTTGTTCAATTAGGAAGCTTGAATAGTCTAAACCTTGTTAATTTTTAGAAGACTCAAAAAAAATTTATAAAGTTTCAGAAATTTTTAAAAACATTTAGAACAGTCCAGAAAGTTTTAAAAATTTCTCTCAGGTTTAGGAAAATTCTAAGCTTTAGAAAGTTATAATGCTATAACCAGCAAATACTACTTATGAACCATTTAAAAATTTTGTGCTGTAGGTGACCTTATTTGAATTAATTTTTTTTTAAAATTAATTTAATCAATAAGAATTAAAATAGTTAATTAGAATAAAACCTATTTTCAATATTTTTTTAGTAAAAGTTCATTAATTTATGAGACAGGTAATTAATTATTTTACAAAAATTTGCATTCTTTGGGGGTGGGGAAGGGGAGGAGTATCACATCCTTAAAACTGTTTTAGAAACAATCTTTCATGGAGATGAAGGGAATCAGTAACTTAAGAATTTAGACAATTTGTAGCTGAATGTTCCTATAAATGACACAATAGGTCTAAAGGATTGAACATTTATTGATGGCGGTTAATTTTTACATCTTTGGTTCATCTTAAACATAGCAATCTAGAATTACCTGTGTCATACATATGTGTCTAAATATTTGTCTTTATGTAAAATAAATTTTTGTCTATATGTAATAATTTTATACGAAGTGAAAAATAACTGTTTTAAGTTGTCCTTTATATTTAATATCTATAAATTTAGATATGATAAAGAAATATGGTATATATATGATAATAAAACGGTGAATCATCTCAAAAGTGCCGTAAATATTAACTTTAAATAAATTTTTTTGTGGAATAGCATAACCTACTTTTTAAAAGATTTATTAATAATGCTTTCTAATGGCTTGCTGGAAAATATGTAAGTTATAGTTTTAGTTGAGTAGAATGGGGATGATTAAGTCATTTGTTAATTTATACTTTTTTCTTATGATTCTTAAGTGTGCTTGATATCTCTCTTTGTATGTTTTCAAAATGGACTGTTTGTCCTGGACGGCAGATATCCAAGGGCGTCAAATGAAAAGAAAGTAACTAAAAAAAAAAAAGGACCTTCATTTATAATATAGGGAAATTTTAATATTAAAAGGGCGCCAATTAGGGTTGCTGTCCCAGGCGGCGTTACGGCTCTCATCGGCTCTGTCTCTGTTGAAAATAAAATCATGTTTATTTATTATACTATATTTTTTTTATAACAACAAGCTACACATTTTTCAGGAGGTTATTTTGGAATCTGTTCTCAATACAGTTCACATACAAAAAAAAAAAAGAATCGCTGTATATTACAAAAAAGGTAGGCAGAATATTTTATTTATTTATAAAAAGTCGATTGTTGCATAAAATTTGTATCAAATAAAAACCCAGCTACCTCTGTAGTAACGTAATTCAATCTATTAATCTTTCCGGACTGAATTAAACAAGGAAAAAAAACTATTATGCAAAAACTTTTTTTGACTTTCCTTGGTTAAATTCAGAGTTGTTAACAAGGCCAAAAGTAGCAAAGCCAAGGCCAAGGCCATAAGTTAGAAGGCCTAAGCCAAGGCCAAGACCAAAAGTTGCAAGGCCAAGGACAAAGCCAAGGTTTAGAATTTTGATATCAAGCCAAGATAAGGAGTTTCAAGGCCAAGACGTACGCAAAGATTTTTAACACTTAAGACTTTAATTTTTGCAATACGTTAAGGTATTATTACCCTATTAAAAACATCAAAAAACAAAAAATATATATATTTTTTAATTTTAACAGTTTGAACATCCTGAATCACGAGTATATTTATTTTTTTCCCTTTAAAAATCAATATAAAGTACTTAAATTAGTATATAAAGACAACTAGGTAAATTTCGAATCTCTAGCAACGGTCTTAGCAACCATGTTTGTTTATATGTTTGCTCTATTTTCACAATTTTTTTGTTGATGTTGTAAAAAGGTTATTTTGACACAGAACAAAATATTAAAGGTGGTTAATCATATTTTTGTGGCTAGTTTGGATATTTTTTAATTAGAGATTTTTTTAGTTAATAACATTTTTTATTTTAAAAGCTGTTTTTCTTAGAATAATATTTTTCAAATATTTTTAAACTAGAACATTGGTATCTCAGAAACTATTATCTCTTTTTCTTTGAAATTTTTACAGTTTCTTCATTGAAGTTGTAGAAAGGACTAGTAGTAGAATAAACAAAAAATAATTTTTATTTTGACCAGAATTTAAAATTTTACATACCCCACGAAATATTTTTTATGATATTTACAGGTTAATATCTGCCATTTTACTTTGGCTCTGTATTTTTAAAAAATTCTACTAGGCGCACTCCACCAACCATTTAGCTATATGTTTGTAAAATTTGAAGTCTCAAATATTACTCAAGTTATTCATGTTCTTGTGACCGCATGTTTCTTGCTTTTTTTTTTGCTGACTCAGCATTTTTTTGTGACAAAAAGTAAAAAAATGATATTTTTTATATTCAGTTTTTAACAACTATCGAAAAATGTTTATCATTTTAAGAAAAGTACCATATTTAAAAAAATAAAAAATGTAGGGTAGCACGACCTTAAGGCTAATTTTTCACAAAACTGTCAGTAGCAAGTGCTGTGAAAATGAAATTACATTTTGTAAAAATAGACCAAGGTTATTTTCAGAATTCAACAAAATCAATATTCGTGATAAGAATATAAATTTTAATATATCAAAAAAAAGTAAAGTTAGGAATACCAGAAATGGATTGCTCAATTAAGTTTATTGAAACCGGAAGAAAAACAGTTTATGCTGTTTTTCAAGAAAACATTTTCAGGAAAGATTCTTCCCGAAATGGTAAAGATTATTGGAGATGCACTTTCAATAGTATTGGTTGCAAAGCGAGAATTACCACACCTAATGGTGTATACTTGATGTCTTCCTCTTTCCACAATCACGAACCAGATAGTGCAGGAGTGCGTAAAAAAGAATTTTATGCAAAAGTTAGAGATGCTGTTAGAAAATCTCCAACAAAACCTATGCAAAAGTTAAGTTTAATAATACATATATACATACATATATATATATATATATATATATATATATATATATATATATATATATATATATATATATATATATATATATATATATATATATATATATATATATATATACATATATATATTATTAAAGTTAATCTATTTAAAAAAATAAACTTAATCTATTTAAATAATTGGCCGATAAGACAATATGCTATATGGTTGTAGAATAATTAACTCATAATAACCCAAAATTACCCAAAATAACCTAAAAAATTGTAATAAACTTAATCTATTAAAAGTTTACCGATAATACAATATGCGATATGATTGACTAATAACTAACCCAAAATAACCCGAAATAACTCGTGATAACCCAAAATAACTCCAAAAAAATGTACTGATTAACTGTAATTAAGTTAATCTATTCAAATAATTGACCGATAATACAATGTGCGGTATGATTGATAAATAATTAACTAAAAATAACCCAAAATAACTCAAATTAACCCAAAATAACCCGAATTAACCCGAAATAACCCAACATAAATCAAAATATCCCGAAATAACGTAAGAATTAACTGTAATAAACTTAATTTATTCAAGTAATTTGACCAACAGTTTATTAAAAAACTCAAATAAAGAAGATGTTGCATTAAAGGCATTCCGCATAATAAAAATTCAGTGATTCAAAATATACTTATTTGAACATTTATGGAAACAAAAAAGGCACCTCGTAGGAAACGGGCCCATTTGGAAGCACTACTGATCTGCAAAACACGTGATTGAACTTTTCAACAATGATTAATTTTAAATGATAAAATGATGCGGAAAAAACTTCAAGATTATAGCAGTTTAACTAGTTAGTTATAAATGAAGTTTTAAACTTCTTCTAACTTAACAGCTGTTAAGTTAGAAGAAGTTTAAAACTTTAAAAATTCACGCAAATTCCTTTGAGTGGATTCAATTTCCAAATGGAATTATATTTATTTAAAACATTACCAATGTCCCGAAAGTATTGTACATACTGCTAATGATAATGTCCTAAGGGAAATGTTTGTGTTGAAATCATTTCGAAAAGTTAAGTTTTTCAAAGAATAGTGTTACAAAAAGTAAATAGTATAATTACTTACCGAATTTTTATGAATTCAAAGAACTTCGACAGTGCTTTTTCTCGACGTCTTCTTTAAAATAATTCTTCAAAATTTGCGGTTAGAATTTTTAAAAGCTCTTTTTTCTATTTTGTACGACTTTCGTTTTGTATTTATTTCAATATGAAGCGATTAAAAAAAGATCAAGTCAAATACCCTTGTGAAATGTGCTCCAAAGAATGTGGAGATGGAACAATTTGTTGTGGGACATGTGAAAAGTGGGTTCACAAAACCTGCCTTGAGCTGAATGACGAACTTTTAAATCAATGGAAAACCTCGAAATTGAGTTTTTTTGCCAGCCCTGTTGTCATGTTGGAGATGAATTTGATTGGAAAAAAAGTCTTACCAGGTATTTTTTAATAATTATTAGTACTATGTATTAGGTTTGTTTAAAATACAGGATACCCATTAAGGCAACTACCAGCAAAGTAAAGTAAGGCTTTTAAAAATTTATTAAAGATTTTAATCTATTAAAAATGTTATTGTACAATCGTTTCAAACTTTCATTCAATAAAACAAAGAGTGCATGTATATATGTACGATTCGCATCAAGTTTTGTGAAAACTGTCTTTTTTTTGTTTTTAATACTGACTTATTTTAGATTGAAATCTAAGCCAACTTCAGGTCAATGTTTGATCGAGCGTTTGTTGCTGAAAACATATATTGTTACTCCACAACCTCGACCATCAGATCTCATTCCAGGTTTGGAAGATTTAATATCCATTTCTCTAATCAATAAAATGCAACCTCAAATTCTGCAGAAATACACACCAAGATCTACAATTGGTGACGGCAACTGCCTCTTCCGGACTGTGTCACTAGCTTTATATGGTGTTGAAGATCATCATTTGTATCTCAGGGTTCTCACATCCATTGAGTTGATACAGCACAGAAGTAAGATATATTATTCATATAGATTAATTAAGTAAATATGGTTTATAAAAATAAAAATTGTATTACCTGGTCATTCCTCTTATTGGTTTCGAATAAATAATAGTAAGAATCCACAATTGTGAAAAAGTAACTTGCATTTATATCAAAAGCAAGGTAGACTATTATGGAATGCTCCATGATATAAATTGCATATATGAATGTATAAATGTTTATTTTCAGATTGCTATGATTTATCATCCAAAAAATATGCACAAACAATCACGGACACCAGAATCGAAACACCAACGTATCCTGTGTTGTTGCGTTCTGCCGTGTCAATTGGCGGATATAGTGAACTAATGCATATTTATGCATTAAGTGCTGCTCTTGCAACGCCAATTCGCTCTGTTTTTCCTGCTAATAGCAGTTTTTGCGATTTTGCACATCCTTACAATGTAGTTGTTTATGGGCGAGGAGTTAAAAAGACATTGGATCCTGAAATTGCAGTATTGTGGACTTGTGCCAGTGAAGAAACAAAAGTATACAACCATATTGTCAATCTTGCCAAGCATCTACCTGCAAGTGAGATTGACTTCAACATTTTGGATGAAAGTTTTTCAGACAGAATCAGGTTGATTAAATAACACAATAAATTATTCTTACAAACAACGTATCTAGGTCAACCAAAATACAAAATCAATATACTTTATTAAAAAACAAACAAGTTATAAGTGAGTGACAATTAATCCAAACATTTTTTTTCTTTAGAAGCAGTACACCACTAGCCGATGAAAATAATCTCACAATAACTTTTAATGACACATATATATCAGACAATGAAACTGAGCATTATTTACATAAAGAAGCAGAAGATGCCAGTGACCAAAATATAATGTCATTGCAAAATGCCAGCAACAGCCTTTAGAATCTAAAATTTCTAGAAGCTGCTGAGATTATCAAGATATTGGTCAATCCTTCAAAACATATGTTAGAAAAAATTCCAAAAGGTTCAAAAGAAAATGTTTATTTTCTTGTTAAGAATAAAGAAAATATTCACAGACGTGCAAATGGTTTACAAAGCTGCTTTGTTGATGACTGTGGGGCATGGACAGTAGCAAGTGGAGCTTCGCCAGTTTCTTTTTACACTCGTCTATCTTCAGGTTATTTTTAAAATGTCATAAAAAGGACTGGAAGATATTGTAAGGCTGTTAAACAAAAAAAAAAGTTTACTTACATTGATTTAGAGCCACAACCATCGCCATCTGAAGTCATACAGCTTCATCAACACTATACATGTTTGAGAGCAAGCAATATCTTTAAACGACGCATTAGTTGGATAGAAGAAGAGACATTGCCAAACTTAGAACATGTCTGCTTTGTTGAATAGTTGGAAAACATCCTGGATTCTATCCACATGGAAACAGCAACAATGCACAATCTCCTTATGTACAAACATCCAGATCAGCCATGGATTCTATTGCCTTGCAAATAAAAACCAGACAACCTTGAGAGATTTACCAGGATCTACTGCTAAACCATGAAGAAAACGATGCTCCAAGGGATCCCAAACAGATACGCAACAAAAAATATTACCATAAGATAAAAAATACGATATTAAGATCAACAGGAAACCAAAAAAACTTCGCAGACAATGTTTAACAAGTTAGTTATGTTCTTCATGATCACCCCTTTGTGCATAGTTTTGAGCAGACAAAGAATAAGATTCCAAATGTAATTCTTTATTTGGAAGAAACAATACAGCAAATGAAAGCTATGTGTTCAAGTGCTCGTCCATCAATCGAACTTTTAATCTTGGAGAAGTGTTTCACTGTTACAGTATTTAAAATCAATGGCGGATTTAGTATAGGGCGTGGGGGGGGGGGGGCGAGCTGCCCCCCACGCTTCCTAGAACGGTCTAACGGCGCCCCCTAAAACAATTAATATATATATATATATATATATATATATATATATATATATATATATATATATATATATATATATATATATATATATATAACATTAAATTACCCGGTCGCCCCTATTTATAGACTCGGCCCCCCCGCGACACTAAACCTCAATCCGCCACTGTTCAAAATGCAGGTTGTAGTCCGCAAAGAGCTTCAATTGAATCCAATCTTCATTGGGCCATTTTTCCTTCATGGTGATGCATTTGATGGTACATACGCCCATTTCTTCACACACTTACGGAATAAATTTAAGGAAGTGTCATGCAAAACTGAAAATTTTATTTTCGGAACTGATCAAAAAAAGCTATGATGTCAGCAATAATGTTTGCTTTTCCAGAATCTAATCAGGTCTTGTGTATCCGACACATTAAATAAAATGTGGAGTCATATCTGTCAGACAAAGTTGGACTAGAAAAAGAAATACGTCAAGTAGTTATGAACGGTTTGTTTGGAAGTCAAGGTGCAGTGTTGTCAGACGATTCGATAGTATTTGAAGAACGAATTAGGTTTGTCCATAATATCTGCAAAAACAAAAAAGGAGACTAAGTTCTAAAGTATTTAGATGAACGTCTTGTCCCGATACTTAAGGAAAATGTGATGAGACCTCATCTGAACAGAAAAGTCCAAGATAATTGGACAAACAATAATGCCGAATCAGCCAGTCATATTCTGAAATGTGCAGTTAACTGGAAACCAAAACCACTAATGGAACTAATTACAAAAATTTGGAATCTAGTACAAGTTCAACAAAAAGTAAGTGATATATTAGTGCTCTTTGTAACCTCATAACATACATTGGTAAAATCTTTTTTTGTTTTACAGGATCTGCAGCGAGCTATTACTGGCTCAGGACCATTTACTCTGGCATAAGAATATCAACAGCATGTTATTTCTCCACAACAATGGTCACAGATGTCAACTGAAGACAGACATAAAGCAGTGAAAAAGTTATTCTATGCGAGGATACCAAGCACAATGTTAACATTGACTGACGGAAAACTCAAAGATCCTATGCCCAAGGGTAGTAAGAAACCAGGTCAAAGGAAAAGGCCAACAGCTGAACGATCTATGACAACGCCGAAACAGCAAAGAAAAACATGCTTTGGCAAATAAACAGAAATAAACTGGATTGTGTCCTTTAAATATAACTTTATAACTTTACGACTTGTAAATAATAAGAAATTAACAGATGATTGGCGCACCCAAGGGAGCCCGATTTTTATTAAATGTTCAGAAAAGCATTTTTTTATACCACTGATTTTGTAATACGCAGCATCCCCTTAATTTAGATTTCTTTTAGATAGTTAAATGTAAGTTGATCATAACGCATATTGTCTTATTGGTTAATTATTTGAATAAATTAAGTTTATTACATTTAATTCATGCATTATTTTAAGATTATTATGGGTTACTTATTCTACAATCATATCGCGTATTGTCTTATCGACCAAATATTTGAATAAATTAAGTTTATTTCAGTTAATTTGTACGTTATTTTGGGTTATTTCGGGTTATTTCAGGTTATTTCAGGTTATTTCGGGTTATTTCGGGTTATTCCGGGTTATTTCGTCTTAAAGACGCACCGTATATATATATATATTTATATATATATATATATATATATATATATATATATATATATATATATATATATATATATATATATATATATATATATATATATATATATACATACATATATATATACATATATATATATACATATATATATATATACATATATATATATATATACATATATATATATATACATATATATATATATATATATATATATATATATATATATATATATATATATATATATATATATATATATATATATATATATATATATATATATATATATATATATATATATATATATATATATATATATATATATATATATATATATATATATATATACATATATGTATATAGGGTAATTCCATGTCAATTGAGCCAGAAAATTTCAAAAATGTCACCATACATCTCAGATTTTGCTGATTTTTATACAGTTGAGAGTACTTAGTAAAACAAAAAATCCTTGAAAATTTTAGCTTCTAGCTCCAAGAGGATCATGAAATATGATCATTTTACTTTTAACTGATCTTGGCCAGGCCCCTCTTGTCCCCTCAGAAGTGTGACCTTTGTTTAAAGGTTCCAAGTCACATAGCTTTAAAAATATTTGATCTTTTAACTTAAAAATTTGTACCTGGCTATTTTCAGGGTCGAAGAATCCAATGAAATAATCAGAAATGTAAAAAAAAAATTTTAAGTACTTGTAATTATCAATTTAAATAAATTTAGGCAATTTTTTATATACCTGGTTTTGATGCTCAAGAAAGCCATGTGGCCTTGATGATATAAAAAAAAAAATTGTACACATTATTCTATGTTTAATGATCTTTCAGAAAACATAAAAATTTTGATCTGCAAGTATATGGATTTCCATATATGGTTAACGGGGCACAGGCCCCACTATTTTGTAGCAGAATCTTGCCATACATTTTTCACTACCTTTCAGACTAGCTGGAACAATGAAAATTTTGGTATTTATGTAGTGTCAATAAATGTGCATTTTAAAATTAAAAAAGGGCCCAAGACACTAGGGGAGGGGGCTGGGGGGATGTGCCCCACTTTTTTGACCGGAATCTTGAGATGGATTTTTCAGTATCTTCCAGACAAGCGTGAGCTTTGAAACTTTCAGCATTTGTGTAGTCCTGATAAACATGCTTTAAAATAGTTTCAGGTTAGACGACTAGAAGGTCCATGGGACTGGGGCACCAGGGACCATGCCCCACTTATTTTCTCAAAAAAAAAAATTTTTTTTTTGTCTTAAATTTAAGATAACTTTGAAAATATTGTATTTAAATATTTTATTGCTTTATGCTTGTTCCGTTTTACTTCATTATTTACAAAATAAAATACAAAAAAAAGAAATTGTCAAGATAATGCTAAGATTAGCTTAGATGCATTGACGGTCAAAGTATACAAACGTCCATTTGTTGTTACAGGTGCATCAATTATACAAGTCATGTTGGTAATTGGAACCCAACACTCATCTACTCTAGATGGCCAGAAAAGTTTATTAAAAGGACCGTGCGGGTGCATAAATGTTACCATAACATCTTGCTCTATATTATCAACTTCATTGATCATACCAATCCAATCAAACGCATCATATTTACACATAATGAATTCACCAAATTTCAAGGCATCAATATTAATTTGCTGATCATTTTGAGAACTTTGAATACCAGAAAAAGAAAAAATGCCTGTTATATGAACATCTTCACTTGTTCGTTTAAAGCTAATAGTATCTATTGATTCTGGTTTAAATTGATGATAGCTCCTAGTTCCAGGGATTGTTCTACTTAGCTCAAAACGTGTTTTCAAAGTGGTGCGCAATTCTGTCAGTCTTTCTTTTTCAATCTTGAAAAAAATAATCCCTTTAATATTGTTAGTACAGTAGTCAAACATTTTGTTACAATTCAATATCTGGTCATTTATGGGCCTTTGTAGACTTGCATTTGTAGTTAATCGTTTTACAATGCCACCAATACCATCACATGATGACTTACCATGACTTGTAGCAAAAAATGTCCACTCTGCATCAATGTCAAAATCATTTTTATGGAGACAGATATTGTAAAGGTTTTTGTGGTTTTTATACTGTGCAGCACAACCATCAGAAAAATAAAGAATCTTTGAAATTTTAGGATGATATTCTTTTAAATAGTTAACTATTTGTGTTTGAACTTCATACACAAAACCAGTGTCATGCTCATTATCTTCTGACATGAAACAAAACGATTTTTCTTCAAGTTGGTCAATTTCGTGTAATTAATAGAGGGCAACAGGGTGCAATGTGCATTGACTTTTGCACCAATGGTAACTTTGGATTTCATCTTGAATCACAAAAATGAAGTTTTCTGCAAAGTCAACTAAGACAATACAGCAGTTTTTTGCTAAATTTTCCTTTTGTTGCTTTAGGTATCTTGATTGACATTTTGCAATGTAGGAATGAGCTGTTAACTTGTTTATTGCCTCTGATAACATCAATTTGTATTCTTCAATAGTTGTTGTCTGATAGATCAATGTCGTTCTGTCTGTTTTCTGCCACTGATTGAATGACACATCCTCGTCATTGTCATTATCAATTAGTTGTGCATCCAGAAACTTCTTTAAAGAAACCATACCTGGACAGTTCGGACATCGATGAACCATGCACTCGTTACTTGTCACATTACAAACAACTTTTGTCATCATATCTTTGTAAGTACATTTCATTTGTATAGCATTGGTCAAGAGTATTGCATTTTGATGGAGGGTACATACACAAACAGAATGAGTGCCTGATGCTCCAACAGTTATACACCATTTTGGTCTTAAACAGCAAAACTTAGAAAATCCAATAACTTCTTGAGGATATTTAGTTTTAAAAGAAACATAAAGTTCTTTAAGATTACATAAAATAAGACGCTTTTGCATGTGTTGTTTTCTACCAATACTTACGTAATCTTTTTTACCAGGCATTTGTCTAGTAAATTCTTCATCATGGTATATATTGTTGACTCTATTTAATGTTATTTCTGAAAATGTTTTTCTTTTCTTAGTGCCTGGAACTGAAAAAATCCCACTTATTTTCTTTAGTTTGCGCGCTTCTTTAATTTGGTATATAGTGACGTTGAAATATCTTGCAGCAAAATTTCTTGACCAAGACTCGGGTGTAAATGTTAATAACTGAATTTTAGTTTTTTGGTCAGAAACAATTAACTTTTCTTTTATTTCTGCTGTTAGTTTGTCTAAATCATCACATTTACTTTTGTCAATAATTTTTGTCAATAATTCAATGGTTGATGCTTTGGAATGCCATGAAGTTTTATGGGGGATACACCTATTGTTTCCAAACTAACATTTAATGCCTCTCGTGACTTTTCAGAAGTAGCACATGAAATAGATTCCTCAAATTCACAATTATCTTGTTCATGAAATTTACTGATTATAGCATCAAAGCAGCTCCGACAAAGTTGATATCCAGGCACAACATTTGGAAAATTAATTCTCAATTGCTTTGCCATGTCTAATGTTATTACATGACTCCCTGAAAAGAAAAGAACAACTTGATTTTAGTAATTACCTATGAATATGAAAATTATTTGTACTTATTTCCATATACATTGCATAACCAGATCAGCTTTTTTTCAAACTTTTACAAACTAGTAGGTTTTAATTTCATTATTCAAAAAAGATTTTACAATAATTTTTTATCAACAATATTTACCTTTGATTGCTTTTTTTTTTGATTTATGCTTGTCCAATAAATTGCAACATTTTGTGTGCTTCTTTTCAAAGTGTGTACCAAAAATCTTTTCATGATGAAGGCAGATTGTTAAAATTTTATCATCTGTTATTCCAGATCTCCAAATAAATTCTTCTCTGGCATCTTCTCTATAGCAATCAAATTTCTTTAAATCAATCTTTCTACAATAACTTAGTTTATGACAAGTATCATTTAATTTTTTTCCAAAATCACATGAATCCATTCTTACTGTAACACTAAAAACATTTTGATATTAGTTTAAAAATGAGAAACCATTAGTAATTAATTCAATGAAAGCAATCACCATGGTAATACAAAACTAAATAGTGATTGATTTCTTTTATCTTACTTTGACAAAAATAAAGTTTCCTTTTCACAAAGTTTAATTATAATCAATTTGTTAATGTTAAAAATGTTAATGATGACTTTAATAGCTAACAAATTTCTTCTATACTAGTGTAATGACAGGATGTTTTTTGTTACTGTAAACAGTTCTTATTTAATAAAATAACTTGCTGATAACATTTTAGAATTAGCAAATATCAAATAAAATAATGATTTTGAAAAATTGATAAATTTCTTTTTTATTGATATAATGTTATGACAGGATGTTTTTTTCTGTTAAAAGTTAATTAAACAACTTGCTGTTACCATTTTAGCATTAAAATATATTAATCTTTTTTAAATTAAAATTTTAAATTATACAAAATAAAATTATGGTAAAACCATTATTTTAGACAAAATTCTTATAAACATTAACTTTCTTAAAACATTTTAAGAAAGATCATTGAACATAGAATGATCAAAAACCAAATTGAACAAATATAAATCACAAAAAATTGTGGAAGCAATGTTACCAAAGATATGTTTAACATTGTTAAAAATAAAAATCTAAAAAAATTTTGAAGACAATAGTTTCATGTGTTAAAATGTGTTAAAAAAAAAAAAATTTTTTTTTTGAGAAAATAAGTGGGGCATGGTCCCTGGTGCCCCAGTCCCATGGACCTTCTAGTCGTCTAACCTGAAACTATTTTAAAGCATGTTTATCAGGACTACACAAATGCTGAAAGTTTCAAAGCTCACGCTTGTCTGGAAGATACTGAAAAATCCATCTCAAGATTCCGATCAAAAAAGTGGGGCACATCCCTCCAGCCCCCTCCCCTAGTGTCTTGGGCCCTTTTTTAATTTTAAAATGCACATTTATTGACACTACATAAATACCAAAATTTTCATCGTTCCAGCTAGTCTAAAAGGTAGTGAAAAATGTATGGCAAGATTCTGCTACAAAATAGTGGGGCCTGTGCCCCGTTAACCATATATGGAAATCCATATACTTGCAGATCAAAATTTTTATGTTTTCTGAAAGATCATTAAACATAGAATAATGTGTACAATTTTTTTTTTTTATATCATCAAGGCCACATGGCTTTCTTGAGCATCAAAACCAGGTATATAAAAAATTGCCTAAATTTATTTAAATTGATAATTACAAGTACTTAAAATTTTTTTTTTACATTTCTGATTATTTCATTGGATTCTTCGACCCTGAAAATAGCCAGGTACAAATTTTTAAGTTAAAAGATCAAATATTTTTAAAGCTATGTGACTTGGAACCTTTAAACAAAGGTCACACTTCTGAGGGGACAAGAGGGGCCTGGCCAAGATCAGTTAAAAGTAAAATGATCATATTTCATGATCCTCTTGGAGCTAGAAGCTAAAATTTTCAAGGATTTTTTGTTTTACTAAGTACTCTCAACTGTATAAAAATCAGCAAAATCTGAGATGTATGGTGACATTTTTGAAATTTTCTGGCTCAATTGACATGGAATTACCCTATATACATATATGTATATATATATATATATATATATATATATATATATATATATATATATATATATATATATATATATATATATATATATATATATATATATATATATATATATATATATATATGTATATATATATGTATATATATATATATGTATATATATATATGTATATATATATGTATGTATATATATATATATATATATATATATATATATATATATATATATATATATATATATATATATATATATATATATATATATATATATATATATATAATGATAAGTAGCAAAAAAAGTCAGATTTTTAAGATGTAAACTAGTATTTTATCTGTTAATATAAAAACTGTTTAAAAACTTAACTAAAATTATGTAAAGCTAACATCATCTGTTAATACATCTGTTAATACCTCCTCAACTGTTTAAAACAAATCTGCAGTATTTATTTTTTGCCATAATTACATGCAAATTTTATATAATGTTACATTGGTTACAAAATGTTTGATTATAGCTATATTTATTTGTACTATAGTTATCAAGACTATTCACAATAACTAGTACTCTTTTCTTTAGATTTTTAAGGAAAACAGAAAAATTGTGCTTGATGATGCTTGTGGCTCAAATTTAGGTTTACGTCAAGAAGTTGTAGCTAATTTTCCACGTTACCAAGTACAAAAGAAATTATCAAAAAGGGAAAAAGAGAAGTAGTTCCACCTCAACCATCTGATAGAAAAGATTTAATTCTTGAGCTAGAATGGGAATTGACTTCCAACGGTAATATTTTTTAATTGAAAAATAATGGATGTGAGGATAAAATTGTTATATTTGGAACTGTAGTTTTTCTTGAACGCTTATGTCGTTCAAAAACGTGGTATATGGATGGAACATTTAAATCATCACCAAATTTATTTACTCAACTTTACACAATTCATTGCTTTATGTCCGATCAGATGTTTCCTATTTTATACTGTTTGTTGCCTGATAATAAGGCAATAACTTATGTGAGGTTGTTTAACCTAATAAAAGAAATAATTTTGGGTAATACTTAGAGTTGCAAAAAAAACCGTTTTTTTTAATTGTGTTTTTTTTTTTGCAAAAAAAACATGTTTTTTTTTGTGTTTTTTGTGTTTTTTATGGTTTTTTTTTGTTTTTTAGATTAAAAAAAAAATTATTTACTTTTATTTAATTTTTATTTTTATTATAAATGTAATATAATATATATTAATAACATGATATATGGTAAATATATAGTACATCATTTAAAAGATTTATTTTTAATTAATAACAGATTCTGTATTCTGGCTTTCTTGTTCATTAAGGTCTTCTATTGTAAAGTCAAATCCGTATTCTTCAGAGTCGCTTGATAACTCTGACTCTAAACTCTTGTACTCTCCTAAAATGTAGGATGTAATTTTATTTTTCTGAGTTGTGAATGGAACTCTTGTTAAAGAATACAATCGTTTTAAGGGAGGCTTATCTGATTTGGTTTTATTTGCCTTACAGTCTCCAAACTTAGGGGTTGTAGACCTACTTTGGTTTCCAAAACAGCTTGGTGTTGGAAAGAAAGACTCAATTGGAACTTGTGGAATAGCAGATGATAAACATATTTTTTTCTCTTTTTTCATATCTTGAATAGGTTAGTTTTCAGGAATATCTTCTTCCATCATTAGTTCAGTTTGAACTTTCTTCTGTTTAAAAGGCATATCGTTCAAATATTTGTTTTTTATTTGATCGCCACATTTCATACATTTTGCAATGTGCTCAGTCATTCGAGTGCCATTTTTTGATAGCTTTAAGTTGCAAAATTTGCATATAACTTGTTGAATTTTAGAACCTCCAGATTCTAAAGGTGCCTCATTGAACAATGTAGCTACAAAACATTTCTTTCTGCCTGGCATATTTTTTTTTAGATTTCTTTTTTTTTTTTTAATTAAAAATAATTAATAGATTACAAATTGTTTAATATAAATGTTTTTTCATTAGACAAAGTTAATCATTGTGCTATTTTTATTTACTTGAATATTGTTTGAATAAATAAAATTTTAGCTATCTAATTGCAATTTAAAATAAAATAAAGAAATTAAATATTAAAAATTTAAAAAAGTAATATACAAAAGTAAATAAAACATTAAAGTAAATTTTATTTAACAGTTGGTTCATTTTTGTATTTTGCAATGCAGTGTTATTTCATTCATTTTTATGAATGAAATAACACTGCTAAAATAACATTTTTATTTCCTTCATTCAGTAGTATTATACTTACAATCAACTAGTAGCTAATAGTATAGTTTTTTTGAGATTTATTTAAAAAATTACTTTTTTAAATATTTAATACTGTTTTTTTTTAATATTGGTGATTAGTTTGTAACAGCTATTAAGTTAATATGCATTTTATTAAATAGAAAACATTTGTATTTTGTAGGTTTAAGGGCACTGGAACTATTTCAAGTATTATTATTATCTAAAATTTAATGAATACTAAAAAAAGCAAAAAAAACAATAAAAAACATGTTTTTAGAACCAGTCTGTTTTTTTTGCAAAAAAAACGTGTTTTTTTTAAAAAAAACACATCGTTTTTTTTGGGGTTGCAACTCTAGTAATACTTCTTTATTTTATTTTATTATTGTGGGAACATTTGCATTTATTACAAGTTTTAACATATTCAATATCATTATAAAGTTACTTTTTTTTAATTTAATAAAATACTTAATGAAAGTTAACTTATTCATAGAAAATGACATGGAAAGTGAAGTTTCATGTTTTTTAATTGATTTTGAATCAGCAGTTGTATCTGCATTAAATATAACTTTCCCAGGAGTGACAGTTTGCGGATGTTTTTTTCATTTTTGGAAGGCAGTATGGAGGAAGGTTTGTGTTACTTAATTAATTAAATTAGCATTTAAACTTTTTCATTTTATCTTAATATCATCTATTATTTGTATTTGTATAGCAATAATATAAAAACCTATCTGTTATTTTCAAAGCTTTCTATCCTAACATATATGAATTTATTAAAAGTTTAAAGCTACATCAAGCTTATAATGATGATGAACTTGACGAATTGGAATCAGGTTGACCAGCTAAAAAATCAAAAAAAAAAATACTTAGATATAAATAAAGAAATTCTCAACCTAAGACAGTCAGCAAGAGAAGGGTTATTGTCTTGGATTCAGTTCATAACCATAGCTGGTTATAAATTAAAATTACAAGGATGAATAATACATATGTTTTATCTAACAATTTAAATAATTTTTATCAGATATAAGATTATTAGTGATGTACCAATGAAAAGGGCTGATTGCAGCTAATAATAAGGTTTAGTGTATGTGTGTTAAGGTATAATATCAATATTTTTGGTGTATAATTTGCATATATTTAAAGAGCACTGGTGTCTATCACCAGTGCCAATTAATTGATCAATCCTAATTGATTGGTTATTGTTAGCTTAGGTTAAGTGATATATATATATATATATATATATATATATATATATATATATATATATATATATATATATATATATATATATATATATATATATATATATATATATATATATATATATATATATATATATATATATATATGGTATTAAATACACTATTATAATTTATGTTTGTTTTATGTGTCAAATTTAAAGCATATAATTATTTTGATAATTATTTTAGTGATTTTGAGTAGTTATATTATAGATTATTTTGCATATGAATTTTACTTTATTTTTAATTGTTTACCTTTTTTATTAGTCAAATAGTTATAGTTTAGAATTATTTATTTGATATTATAGCTAAGAGTTATAGTTAATGTTTATTAGATTAAATAAATAGATAAAACTTATTGTATTTAGTTTAGAATTATCTATTTATTTGGTATTCTAGCTCAGAGTTATAAGTACACATAGAGTTTATTAGATTTAATAAATAAAAAAACTTATTATATTAAATTTAAAATTATTTATTTATTTTGAATTCCAGCTCAGAGTTACAGTTACACTAAGAGTTTATTAGATTAAATAAATAAAAAAAACTTATTGTATAAAGTTTAGTATTAGTTATTTATATGATATTCTAGCTCAGAGTTATAGTTACAGTTAGAGTTTAATCAATTAAATAAATAAAAAACCTATCGTGTTTAGTATAGAATTATTTACTTATTTGTTACTGATTAAGAGTTGTAGTTTAGAGCTTTTGTAGGTTAAAGTTCCTAATAGAATAGTAAGAACTAATTGTATATTCATCCTGTAATACTATGTTTGGACCATGCTTACTCTATTTGGCATACTGTACTTAGATCAGTTTATTTAAAATATATATATATATATATAACCTAAAGAATTTTTGGAGCACTTAGGAACAGTTACAATTAACGGGTAAGACTTAATTGAATGACAAGTAACAGAAAAATGAATTTTAGTAGACAGCACAATAGACACTAGCTCTTTAGAGCAGCACCTATTATAGTATTTATAGAAAAGGGATATAGAACCAACATTATGGTGATGTGGTGATGGTTGAAGGTTGGCTGCAAGAGCATATCTAACTATGTTTACAATGCATTTTTGTACTTAAAAGAGAAAGGACATCATTCAAAGTTCTGCTTCAGATATTGCATCAATACTCCATACAAAGATGGATTTGAGATTTAAAGAGTTAAAGAATAGAATTTTAGTTTAGTTTAAGTTTCATGACATTTGTCAGCTGGACAAAAAAATTTTACTTAAGGGCCAGCGCAAAGAAGATCAGGAAAGAATCCCAGTCAGCTTTCAGGGACTCTGAGCAAAGCTAACTCAGAATAGTGCAAAAAAGGTATAAAATTTTCCATAAATATTAATTTCACACTGCAACTTATCTAATAAAAAAAGATTTTAATTAACATTTCAAGCAAAAGATTGTTCCTTTTTTTAAATAAAAAATAACAATAGAATTAAAAGGATGCAAATTAATGTGCTTTTATTTTAATTAGGTATCGTGAGTTGGGCTGTTTTCCCTTGATACTTTTAGAAATAATGAGATATTTAAACCTCAAGAATTGATGTTTAAATTTTGAGTCATAAACTAAAAGTTGGGGCAAATATATCAACACAACATAATTAAACAAGAGAAATATAAAGGTTTGTAATTTAAATTTTTATCTAGTAGATAATAATATATAAATATTATTTATATAAATTAAGACAAATTTTTATCACTTTATGTTTATTAAGCGGATCACTTACTCTTACGCTTATTATTTCTTATAGAAAACAATGTTCTTTAGGGAATAATATTGTTAAACTAATGTATGCACTGACTATTTTGGTATTTCTTGTAGTGTAAAAAATTTAATTGTCTATAACTTATTGTCAGCCAACATAGAAGGCTTTATTTTTCATATTATAATATGTTAACTAAAATATACAAACAGGTTACTTTTAGTTAAAAACAGTAAAACTCAATTATAGTAATAACAATAATAATAATAACAATAATAATAATAACAATAGCAACAATAATAATAAGAAGAAAAGAAAAAGAAGAAACAACACAGACCTAGAGTTAATAATTTCTCTTGATAGGTGATATATTTGAAAACTTGTTAGGTTATATATTGTTCTTTGCTGATATACTGTGAATGTATATGTTTTTGAAGTTCTATTTTTTTTAAACAAATGTTGATAGATTTTAGTGTTTTTAATTAAATTTATTTTGCATTTAATTTTAAAATTGCTCACACTCAGTAATGATACGCTTTGAATATGCAGCTTGGTTTTTTGAGTCTTTTAATTAGGTGAATGAGCTAAAGCTGTACTTTTATTGGTATGTATTTCTACATTTTAAGCCAATTTTTAGGTAATTAATAAGAGGTTAAAAAACATTTTAATTCATGTAACGTTTAATAAATTCTTCTTCAGTTCATCTGTTCTTGTTCAGAACAGTTATTACCTTTTTTTAAATAAGCTTTATTCAAAAAAATAAATAGAACATAGAAAAAGAAAAAGTGTTTACAATAAACAACACTTGAAGTATAAAAGCCGAATTGGTGGTGTGCAAAGACCTTATAGTTTGCTTATAACAATTGTGCTAAAATTCAGTCTTTCAATATATTCTCAACTTATGATATGTTATTAAATTTTTTAGCATACATCAATGAAAACATCTCTATAAATATTTATAAATATCTTATCTCTATATATCTTAAATCCATCCTTGCATGGAACAGTTTTGTGATATCTTAGGCGGATCTTTCAATGATCCCCTTTCTCTATTAGAGAAGGCGCAAAAAAGAATTGTTTTTGCATCTTGAACCGCTCTTGCAGTCGAGAAGCTGTTCTTGCATCAACCTCCAACCATTATAACTTAATTGTAATGTTGCTTCTCTTTTTGTTTTTTATTCCTTTTTTAGTAATAAAAAAATTACAAATACAATTAACTATGTAAACAATATAAAATTCCACAAGAAGTATACTAAAATTAGGTTCATCTATAGCCAACAATAATTTTTGTTTTGAAAAACTATTTTACCTTATTTAAAAAACAACATAACAGTAAACTGAACATTAAACAAATAAGTTAAAGGCTATTACCAACCAATCTGTAGAAAAAATTATTAAATATTTGTGTTAAGTAATGCAAATGTAGAAATAAAAACTTTACTATACCTAGCTCACAAACAATTCATAACATAATTATTAACAATAACAAATCATTTAGTTAAAATATAAAAAATAAATAAGTTTCTCACCAATCGATCATCACGATTGAAAATTGTTAAACTAATTAGCCAACCATACTTTATAAGCCTTTTTCCTTTAAGCAGAATCTTTTTCACAATTAATGACTGAATTTTTAATTTTACATGCAAACAATCCAAAAAACATTATGCATAATAATTTTTGGATTATGGGCATGTTTCTATACTAAAATAAAACACATGAACTGCCTTAAAAAAAACTTCTAGGCATCAACCACGAAGAATCCACACAGTTATAAATCTTTATATTTGAAATGTTCTAAAAATAAAAACAACCACAATACAAAATAAGAAGGTAGTCAAAAAAAATCTCCTACTAACTCTTGTAAAATTAATTATAAATAACTTTGACACAAAAATTTTACTGAAATGCAACATGCAGGAAATAAAAGGACACTGCAGCTTTCTGTTTACGGAACAAATCAATTCAAAACAACATCATAGAAAAAATAGTAGCCAAATAAAATTTCTAAAAAGTGCAGCAAGATATTTCAAGTGTAACAACATTGATCAAGATAATGCCATATATAATAGTCATAATATATGCCTCTATATTATAGAGACTTATATCGTGATTTTTGACTTCTAGACTATTAGTCAAAAATTAGGCAAATGCAACATATAACAGTCATTTTTGACACAGGCTCTGAGCTATTATTCATTTTTTTAAAGTGTATGTCTGATAACAACATTATTTTTAACACAAATATTAAAAAAATTCACTTTGTCTTTCAGATAGTTCACCAGTAAATATAACTGGCCGATATGATGGCGCATAAAAGAGAACCACTTCGAACTAAACTTTTTGTGTGAAAACAACTAGTTTCACCTTTTATCATTGGTGTAATCACTCAACTTTTACACTTTGTTTTAGAGCAAAATTCTAAGCAATTAAATTTTGCTTTATCTTCTATAAAGTATAAACTTATTTCTGAAATTGAATCACTGCAATTGTAACACCTTTAAGATGATACAATTCAAAGAAAAAAAAACAATGTCTTCATTAATAATTAAGTTGTCAAAGTCCCATGAAGAGTTCCATGCTTTTAATCGATTTCTCTAAATCTATAAAAATACCTAGTCTGCTGTCTTATTCTTGTCCTAGAATGGACCTTTAAAAAAATCTTTAAAAATTAGCAATTTTAATATAAATAGTTAATTGCGTTTCTTTTTTAATTATTAACTCATATAAAAATAATGACATTTTTTAATAACATTGGTTTTTATTTTGATAACCAATACTATTGAAAAAATTTTCTCGCTTAACCCATCCCGTTCGCTTCGCTTTCCCCACCTTTCGCTTTTAAAATATTCGCTCTTAAAAGTTTCGCTTTAAAGACACCGAACCGTAAAATGTCATTTCCGCTTAGTGACGCATAATGCGGCGGGTAATTTTGAAAGTATAAACAGCGCGCTTTCACGTTTAGAAGGTAATTTTTTTTTAATTTATTACACTAACTTGTGATATTCATGGTCCTATATTTTTATCTAAATTACTAAGCGAGTATGGATAGCAAGTATTACTTATCTTTTTTATTTGTTTGTGGGGCATTTAGCTTTTTCCTAAAGTGGCTGTACAATCATGCTATGTGTACAACAACAACAAGATTAGATGGAAAAGTTGTTATCATAACAGGTGCTAATACAGGAATTGGCAAAGAAACATCTATTGAAATAGCCAAGCGAGGAGCAACTGTAGTGATGGCGTGTCGAGATTTAAAAAGAGGACAATCTGCTCTAGAAGATATAAAAAGATTAAGTAACAGTCACAGGGTTTTTTTAAAAAGACTTGATCTTGCCTCTCTCAGTTCTGTACGCAAATTTACATATGAATTTATTAAAGAATTTGATTGCCTTCATATTTTGATAAATAATGCTGGAATAATGATGTGCCCTTACTGGAAAACTGAGGATGGCTTTGAAATGCATTTTGGTGTTAACCATTTAGGACATTTCGCTTTAACAAACTTGCTTTTGAGACATTTTTCAGTTCATGGTAGAATTATAAATGTTAGTTCATGTGTTCACAAATATGCAACAATAAATTTTGAAGATATTAATTTTGAAAAAAATTATTGCAGAAGAAAAGCCTACTGCCAGAGTAAACTTGCAAATGTTTTATTTACATGTGAGCTTCATCGAAAACTTGTTGGTTCAAAAATTTCTGCGTATTCTCTGCATCCTGGAATTATAAACACTGAGTTAGGGAGGCACTCTTTTTTAAAATACTTACTTTGGCTTCCATGTTTTAAATCCCCCATGCAAGGTGCTCAAACATCTATTTATTGTGCTACAAAAAAAGGATTAGAAGACCAGTCAGGAAACTATTTTGCAGAATGTAAACTCGTAAAAACTATGAATAAACACTTTTTTGATGAAGGCCAAGCTAAAAAGTTGTGGGAGTTAAGTGAAAAATTAACAGAAACAACATATCCTTTATAAAGATATTTAAATATATATTTTTTTACAATGAGTTTTTTTATAATACTATTTAATATTATATCAAATTATTTTTTGTATATTGAAGAAGAAAAATTACGACATGGTTTTTAGAACATATATTTTAATAAAGATTATTATTTCTATTTTGTAACGTTAATTTTGCAAGAATATAATAAAATATTTTTAAAAAATCTAAAAAAAAAAAAAAAATTTAAGCTTAAGAGGCAAATTTTTTGGTCATTTTATAACTATTTTGTTTAAATTTTAGTCAATTAATTTTAATTAGCAATTGTCAAAAATTAAAGATAACTAAATTATTATTAACAAGTGCATGGTTTTACATAAAACGTTTATCTATGCTGCTGATGGAAGTTAAGTTAAAAATGTTTGAATCAAGTCATACTTTTATTTAATTATCTACTAAAAATGGCTTAGAATAATATGCCAATAATATGTGGAGTGATAAAGAAATAATGAGATTTTATGATTATTCTTTAATGTTTTATTGTATAATATTTAAATAATTTTCAAAAGAATTTGTCAATGTGAATTATTTTTGTTATTTTCTAGCATGTATTTGACATAAACGATTATCATTTTGATCAAAATAAAGATCCTGTTATGGTCGGCGTGTAGATCCTTGTACATTTTATTTGTTTCACTAAATGGTTGAAAAATCTGTGCCAATTTAACCATGCAGCAAAAGATTATATTTAACTAAAATTTCTTAGTAAAAGTTTGACAAATTATTAGATATGAAACTAGAACATTGTTCTGCTCATAATAATTTTTTTTTCTATGTTTTGTTTTTTTGTTTGTTATTTTTAAAGTTATTTGAAGTTTAATTTAAATTTTTTTGTAACAAGAAACTAAAATGCTTATTTGGCTTAAGCTTCCTTAATTTTATCGTTTTCCCCATTTGTAACCTTTAACTTTTTTTTTTTTTTTTTTTTTTACAACAATATATTTATTAAAGCTTTTTTCTATTTTTATAGAACAAATACTCTTGAGTTGAAAATATATTTTTCTGTAATGTGCATCTAAATTGCTTCAATCACCTTAGACCCCTCAATTTGACAATTTGCCCTATTTATGACTCTTTACACTTAGTTCATATTTAAAAAAAGCTATTTTCTATTTCTTTAAGACAAATACTTTTGAATAAAAAAAAAGTTTTTTTTTTTATTCAAAAGTATTTGAGTGATACAAAATGACAATCACTTAGGCGCTCAGTGAAACCAAAGGTAGGATCCTATATATAAAGTTAAATGAGACTTTATTAATATTTACCTGCATTAATAAAAAAAAAAGAACGTTAAGTAAAATAAGTAAATAAATAAATAATAAATTAAAATGAGTAAATATTGCTAATGTTAAGTTATCTTATAAATTAGTTCAAAATACAGTTGGAAATTTTTTACTTTTAATGTGAAGTTTTTACAATAATTTATTGTTTAGCATAAAATTTCTATTATAGTTTGTTTCTCTTTATTTTTTTTATTTTTACCAAATGTTATTCATAGTAATTTTATCTTTTTTTTTATTCTTAATGTATACAATATTACTAATACCACCGATTGTAAATAAAAAGTTATTTATTATATATTATTTATTATACAAAAACAAGTTCGATGCTTTTCAACACTATAACCAACCTTTTCATTTAAAGTATTTTACTAGTTTTACAATGAGTCCTGGCTTTTCTATTTGGCTAGTAGTGACTGATTGTGGTATTGTTTTTTTAGTTCTTAGGGTACTCTATGAAAAATAATAATCATACCACAAAACTCCTTTATTTAATGTTATTTAATGAGAATGTTTCCTGCTCTTTTTCTTACCAATACCGTTTTTATGGTCCGAGTAGGTATCAAACCATCTTTTGATTACAAGTCACTTATTGAGTGCGTCACAACAACTACAAATGTTTTTCCAACAATGTATAGGGATGCAATGATCTTGTAGGTTTAAACAAGATATTTTTGTTTATAACTACAACCTGAAAAGCAATAGTAACATAAAGAAATTCCGTAAAACTATTGTTGCACTGCATTGATTTCACCATCTTCATACATTATATATATATATATATATATATATATATATATATATATATATATATATATATATATATATATATAATAAAAGTTACCCGTGTTTCCTTTTGAAAAAATAATTTTCCATTAAATATAAATATATTGTTGTAAAAAAAATTCAAAGAAAACTAGGAAGTTTATCATCACCTCTTTGAATAGTTAAATAAAATGTAGTTTTAATAATATATAGCAGGGATAGCCAAAAAAGCGAAATTATTTAATAATAATCAGTTACAGCTTGAATTATATATAGCTGGTAGGCATAGTGTTTCAAAAATGGATTAATAAAAATAAAATAAAGGCAACAATAGTCCACTTCACTATATAAGTAAGAAAAGAAAAATTGAAGATAAGAACAGATTATTTCATGGTGATTCGACAGAAAAGTACGTATTTAAAAAAAACAAAAACATATTTGTTTAATTTGCAATACTGAACATGCTCATAATAAGTCATGTAGTGCTAAACGTCACCATGAAACAAAACATATGTGTTTTTCTGAGAAATACCCATTAAATTCATGTCATAGAAAAAATGAAATCGAGTTGCAAAAAAAAAACAATATTAAAAAATTTCATCAGCTTCAAAGTTGCTAGTGTTTGTAGCTGTTGAACAATCTTCAATAGGTGAAATTAATGTCTCAAAGGTATTGGATGGCTGAATTATTTCTTTAATGTGGGGAGTGGCACATGGTGCTAGATGTCGTGTTGATACCGTGTCAAATCTGCCATTCATATATTTTATGCGTGCATAGTGCGTTAATATGGTTTCAAGCAAAGTGACTAGTTCTACCAATGGATCTCTTTTTAATTGGAGGTGATTTTTATGTAGGACAATACTACCTGATTCTACTAGAAAGTCAGGTAGATCTACAACAGTGCTAGTTGAGCGTTTGAAACTCATTTATCTGTTGTGTGGACTAGAATTCGTTGAAGTGCATAGTAGTGATCGAATAGAGGATAGAACTGCAGGGAGATCCAGTTCCCAGTCAGTTTTTTCTAGTTCAAAACTTCGTAAGGCTGAGTTTATTGTTTTCATGATTGTAGAGTTTAGTCTTTCACATTGCCCATTCCCTTGTGTTATTGTTTTCATGATTGTAGAGTTTTGTCTTTCACATTGCCCATTCCCTTGTGTTATTGTTTTCATGATCGTAGAGTTTAGTCTTTCACATTGCCCATTCCTTTGTGACTAAAAAGGATAGTGTCTATTGGCACGGCCGCGGTGTTCAACTACTAAAAAAGACTATTGGCACGATATTTAGATAGTTCTAAGCGCCATATTGTAAATTTGTGATTTTTTATTTTGGAAATTTGTCCTGGATTAAAAAGGAAGGAATTAACTTTTTGATCTGTTAAAATATCAAATTTCGGAGCGGAAAACAGTAGATTTCTCCATTGACGACAACTTTCCATAAAAGCCATTTCTTCTCGTTCTATGACAGATTGGCAATTTTCAGGCTTCAATAGGACTCTGGAGAAGAATGCAATAGGTCTTCTTTCTTGACTTAGTGTTGCACTAATAGCAGTTTGAGAAGCGTCAGTTTTGATTCTAAGTGAAATATTTGGGTAAGGTGTCGCTAAAGATGCGGTGGTTAGTTGTTCTTTTAGATGTTTAATGGCAGAGCTTCTCAGAGATAGCAAAAACGTTCCTCTGAAAGAGGGACGTTTTTGCTTATTGAGTCAGGAAAATTAGTCAGAATGGTTGTTAGGTTGGAGCAGTTAGGGATCCATTTAGCATAGTATGCAAAAAAGCCTATCAAGCTGTTTAATTGTTTAATGTTAGTTGGAATAGAATAATTTTGTAAGGCCTGGAACCTTTCAGGATCTGGTTTCAATGTTTTGTTTTCTATTAGGTGTCCAAAAAAATAGAGTGAGGTTTGAGAATACTTACACTTTTGATTGTTCATTTTGATTCCAAAATTGTTTGCTGCGATTTTAAATGCCGAGAGGTTTTTGTCGTGTTTTTCTTGATTAGATCCACATATAATATCGTCATCTAGAAAAGGGTAAGTTTTTTGTAGTTTGTATTTTGAGACAAAATCATCCATGATGCGTTGAAAAATGGCATCTGTGCATTCAAATGGGAGTTTTTTAAATTCATACTGCTTTCCATTAGTTTTGAAGGCGGTCAATGAATAATTTTTCTATTTTAGCGGGATTTGGTGGTAAGCGTATATTAGATCTATTTTACTGAATATACTGTGTATAGCTTTGTTTAGTAGGTCATCTATTCTAGGACATGGGTAAGAATCCAGAGGATTATGTATATTTATAGTGTTGGAGAAGTCGATTACTAGACGAGAGTTTTTTGATTAATTTGTGACAAAGTATTGGGCTCTCCAGGGGCTTTGACTGATTTGAAAAACATCATCTTTTAAGAGCCGAGTAATTTCACTATTAATAAAATCTGTATTGAGATTGTGTCGTTGTGAGGATGTTACAATTAGAGTGGGTTGAGATGTGTTGATTCCAGGAATAAGTTCAAACAGATAATAGAATTGGATTGGTTCACGTTTTCCTCCAAAATGAAGTGTCAGAGCTGAGTGTTTATTTAAAATGTTTATACCGATAATGAGTGGTGGTAATAACTGTTTTACTACAAAGAGTTTAGTTGAATATGAGTGGTTTCTATTATTAACTTAATGTCTTATTGGCCAAAAATTTTTGCGGGTGAATAATTTGCAAGACAGATTGATTTACTGATATTGATGTTAAAGTTAAGATTGTTTTCATTAATATAATTTAGAGGGATGAATGATAATTCAGAGCCTGTGTCGATAAGAGCTTTCACTGGTATTCCATTAATTATTGCATTTACCAGGCCTGTATTTTGATTTATAGAGGCAAAGATTGTGGCCGTGTGTGAGATGTTATCTTGTTTGATGTCATTATTGCACTCGTAGGTTGTTGCTCCACCCTTTATAGTTATTTTATTTGGATGTTTTGGTTTTATGCTGTTGTTTAGACTTAGTTT